AGATGCTGGAGATTGACCTTCTACAACTGTGGTTCCTAACATGGGGCACATGCCCCACAGGGGGGCAATTTGATTTTTAAGGGAGGCAATTCGAAAATGTGTTAGACCAAGTTAATGGCCTTTTAGGTTTTCTCCACGTGAATCGGAGTTCACTTTTTGAATAATAAGAATTATATGTCGCGGGGTGGGGGGGGCATCAGGATTTTAGGTGGGGCATGGCCAAAAAAAGGTTGAGAACCACTGTTCTACAAGCAGAGCAGATGTTCTCCACCCCACAGAACTTGCGGGGGGCGGGGCTTCTCCTTCTCTGACTTACTCCGAGCGCTAATCCACGAAGCAGGAAACGGCGTCCTCGCTTTCTAATGACTCATCCATCCCAATCCACTTCTCCAGCCTCATCATGAGCTGGCACTGGAAAATAGTGCGCCATCCCCGGCTGCTGCAGGCGGCTTGCTGACCGCGCCCTTCTTGCATTCGCTACCGAAACTCCTAAACGCTTGCATCCCTCGTTGGAGAAATCCCAGAGGGATCGCAGGGCGGAGAACTCGGACGCAGCGCCCTAAGCCACAGCGTAGCAGCAAACTGCGCCAAAGCACCCGCGTTCCTCTAGCGGCGGCCTGTGCTTGAGGTCAACAACCGAACAGAGAGCCTTTCTTTTTTGCACAAAGAAGCGCCATCGCGCCCTTTTATGACCGCCTTGGCCCTCGAATCGACTCTCTGCGCGCATCCCTCTCCAAGCCAGCCGCCCAAAGCTCCTTTAAGCAACCCCAGCTTGCCCGGCCTGCCATACTTACTGCGCGGGTCTGCCTTGGCAAGGAAGCTGCTGGGAAACGTCAGCCGGATACTTCTTACTCTCCGCCTGCTGGTATCCGCGCAACCGCCAGAGTTTGGGCTCCGCGCGCTTCCGCATTGCCAAATCGCAAGGAAACGCCTTGGATTGGGCGTGTGAACTTGCTTGGTTTTCTAACGGATGTATGCCCCCGATCCTTCCTTCCTACACGTGTTGGAGTGGGGCAAGATCAGCAAGAGACACGCAGCAAGGGTGGCTAGTGTGTATGAACAAGTACAGTTCTTTAAAAGAAGCGGGGGTTAAGAAAGGTATGCTGGAAAGTAAAGGGACTGGAAGCCCCCGCTGTTAGGTTGCATTTATACCCGACCACTTTCTCGAGGGGGCGTACATGGTTCTCCCCTTACTCATTTAATCCCCCCGCAACAACCCTGCGACGTAGCTTAGGCTGCAAGGCTGTGATTGGCCCAAGGTCACCCATTGTGAGCTTCATGGCCACGGGGGGCTTTAAACCCTGGTCTCCCCCCAGTGGTTTTCCCGGTCCGACACTCTAACCACTACACCACACTGGTTCCTCGCGATCACTGATGCGCTCTGATTCCGAGTACTGGAAGCAACGTCTCCCCTTTACAGACGCTTTTGCTATCTACCGACAGCCCTGGAAAGGCACGGCGCATGCGCACAATTTGGTCCAGGCCTGCTGCTGGAATGTTGTAAAACTGCCGCAAGGTGGCAGCGGGCAGCTTTCTCCGGCCCGCCCCTTGCGTGGCCCGCGCTGACACAACCGAGGGTTTTCTCTACCCTTCCAGTCACGCGCCAGGCTTAGTTACAGCTCCACGGCAACTCCTGATTGGTTGGAACGGCAGCGATTCAAAATGTGATTGGCTGCTTGTAGGAAAGGGAGAGTGTTGGACTGTTTATTTGGAATTCTCCGCTGAAGGCTGCAATTTCCTTATGCGGGCGTCTGGAATGCGCAGCTACCAGCAGCCTTTCCTCCTCGGCATCCAGTTTCCTATTCAAAAGAGCAACACCACCTTCCTGTCATCCAGCCGCTCTGCAGCAGGTGCTGTCCAGACAGTGAAAGCGGATTTTTGCATATGTCTATAAGCAGCAGTAAGGTGCCAACACTTATATAAAATATTTGGCAGAGCAGGAAAGCCCCGACCCACATACAGTAATCGATCACATGATGCGGTGCCCATCAATTTAGCCCCCCCAAAATATGTTATTGGGGCAGGGACAAAGCCCCCTCAGCCCCTAGGAGTTGGCTCTTGTGAGCAGCAATCGCAGGGGGATTGTGTTTTATTCATTCATTTCTTGACCCAAGGAACTCCAAGGACATGGCTCTCACCTGCCCAATTTATCCTCCCCATAAGGCTGAGAGACAATTGCCAGTTCAAGTCTTCTCAGTGAACTTCAGTGCTGAAAACAGACTCGGCCCTGGGCCACTGGAGTCCTACAGTCACTTACCAAGCAGACAGCGTACACAGGGAATCTTTAGACCATAAGCCAGTGGGAAGGGCATGTATGATTTTTAATTTTTGTTACAATGCCTAGCAATTTTAGGTGTAACAAAGACAACTATCGAAGCAGATGAGTGAGCCTTCAAGTAAACTGGTCACAAGCTGTTAAGGGCTTCATATATGAATACTAACACATCAAATATGGCTCGCTAATAAATCAGCAGCCAGTCCAAGTGTAACCTTTGAAATGGAAATCCTGCTAAGGTTATGCTTCACCTTGGGACAGCAATTGATGGTCTGTATTGTTTTTCTGGAAGAGTTATGATTATCTCTGTTAACTGAATAGCAATTCATTTGTTCCAGCATTTATTTTGATTTATCCAGAGAGCTGTCTGATTTGTGTTGTAAAATGTTACTGAAGAAGCAGTGTGTTCTGAGTTGTTAGATGGGTTGGTGTCTCTACTGTTTGCTACATTTTGAGCTCAAAGTAGAAACAGATAGGAAGATCTTGCCATCGAATTCAGCTTTGACTTCTTTAGCAAATGAGCAAGGAAAACAAACAGGAACCCAATGCCAGGAAAAAACAAAGATCTATACATATACCATCAGCTCATGAAGGAACCATAAAAAATCCTGAGAGAGACAGTGAAGCATCTCTTTTCCTATCTTCCCTGGAGCTCTGTCTTCCCTGAGGGAAGGGAAGAGTGAAGGAGCCCAGGCAAGGGAGTTCTTCCCATCAGCTCCCAGCTGACCTGAAAGGACTCTGTCCCTCTACATTTTATCTAATGCATCTGTTTTAGCATTTTAAAATGGTAAATCGCCTTGTGTGCCTTGGGAGAAAGGTACAAATCCAGTAAGAAAAATAGCTGACCAATGGAAAAAGAAACTCTGTGACCAGTCTGGGAACCTGCCTATGATTTCTGAGAACTTATCAAGGAAGTTAGAACTTCACCTCACTAGGCCAATGAAGGATGAGTTCTCCTCTGCATTGCAGAATACGAATTTAAATGTTCACACACATATCCACACCAGGGATGACTCCAATGAGTAGTAAGAGGTAGCAGGCACACACACACACACACACACACACACACACACACACACCCTACCCCACCCAAATATTTATACAACTCTATGTAACCCGAGGTACCACTGTACCTTTACCTTTTTAGGAGAGGAGAGGTAGGGACTGTTCCATTGTGCAAGCAGAAATTGTTAAATGAGTGCAGTGACTTAAGCTGGGTAAATGTTAGGGGATTTTTCTTTTTTCATGGGACCACACACTGAACTACTGTATAAGCTTTCGGGTGAATGCACACTTCTTCAGATACTCTTCTATCTGAAGATACTCAGACGCTCAGATACTATCTGAAGAAGTGTGCATGCACACAAAAGCTTATACCCAGAACAAACTTTGTTGGTCTATAAGGTGCTACTGGACAATTTTTAATTTTTAAAATTTATTTCGACTGCGTCAGACCAACACGGCTACCTACCTGAATCTAGCCACAGTAAAAGTTCTACATCGGATGGATAAAATCTTTGATCTGTAGGTCCTGCCCCCACCAGCACACGAGCGCTGCCCGGTGGCGGCAAACTTCGGGGGATGGCAGCCCCCTCAACATTGGGGAGGGCTCAGCCCCCTACCCTACGCACACCATGTCAAGAGAAACGTTGCCGAATTGTCCAGCAGAGGGCGCACAAGATACCTCGGACCAGCGTGATGTTTGAGGTGTCTTCTGGATAGCTCATGACCAAAGCGTCGTGATTGGCTAATTCGAAATAATCATATGAGGAAGAAATAATGAGCTTCGGACTATATATTTTGGCAGGTGAAGGATTACATATGTCACGGAGGTATTCATTTTTATATTTAAATGCTGGGTGTTATAATTGACTGATGATCTTAGAATTGAATTTAAGATTTAATAATTTGCTGCAACTGAGCATAACGTGCAATGCTTGCTAACTGGATTTATTAAACAGCATACATTTGAAGCACAGTGGCGCCAGTTCTGTATTTGTAAACTATGAGGCTGAAGTCTGATGAAATAATATTATATGCACTGGGATTAATAGAACTAGTCAAGAGGTCTAGATTTATTTTATTTCCAAGGAAGCAGACTGCCTTCTTTTCGCTTGCAGAGCATGTTTTTGTTTGTTTTTGCTCTGAATTTTCCACAAGAAGGGAAAATCATAACCAGCTGTAACATACAACAAGAACAGGACTAGCATGAACAATAGCAGTCCCCTCAATCTCTCAATAGAAGGCTCTTTCCTACAACTGTAGGCTTGACCATTGATAGAGGATTGTTAGAGGGGCTGCAACAATAACTGAGTACGAGGCAGGCAAAAATGTAACTGGAGAATGCGGGCATCGATCCCGCTACCTCTCGCATGCTAAGCGAGCGCTCTACCATTTGAGCTAATTCCCCCTCGCGATGCAAGCTTCCCTTCAGCCGTTATAGATTATTACTCAACAGCGCCTGCGCTAGTTATAACGTTTTATCCGACTTGTTCTTGTGGGAAACGAACTTCCTCGCCAAACTTAAGCCTAGTTAAAAAAAACGAAAAGCAGAGATAGGTAAGTTCTGTCAGCCAGCGAAGAGAAGCCACGCGGGGCTGGCGGGGGGAGAGAAGGAACGGTCTGTGTGTGGGGGGGGGGAAGGACTACATTTCCCATGAAACCTCACAGCGCGCATGCGTAACGTTTTCCTTTAGCTCGCTAGGCCCCGGCGGCGAGTTCCTTCAGTCAGAAAGAGAGAGAGAGACGGGGGCGCGTGCGCGTGTGCGGAGCAGCTGCTTCGCATTGTGCGAGGCGGGGACTGTTTGTGCTGCCGCTCCTCTTGGCGCGCGCGCGCGCGCGCACACACACACATATACAGAGCGGCGGCGGCAGCAGCATCCTCCTCTGCCAGAGGAGGATGAAGAGCGTGGCGAAGGAGGAGGAACGGATTCCAGCAGCCGGTTCGGCGCGCGCCCACTGCCCCACCGCTCTGAGGTAAGAAGAGGGGAGCCGGCGCCGCTCGCTCGGGGGCGAGCGAGGGAGATGTCGCTGGGTCCTCCTGCCGCTGCCGTCCCTCGCAGAGAGGGGCGCGGGAGCCGCCGTCCCGCGGGCTCCGAGAGAAGGCGACGGGTGTGTGTGTGTGTTGTGTGTGTTCGCCGCTACGAAGGGCGGGCTGTGAGGGCAGGAGGCGTGCGCGCGGGGTCTGTCGAGGTGAGAAAGGACTTAGCGGGATAAATGCATTATCGTGTGTATGGAAGCGGGAGGGGGGTGGTCTGGGTTGACAGGCGAGGGGAGGACTGTGCGGGGCCGGCTGCTCCCTTCCCTGCGCCTGTGTGCGCCATAGGGTGGATGGGGGGTGGTGTCATATAGTAGTGAACGGTTCTTGTGTTTTAGTTGTGCCCGGCGACCAGAGCGCGTGTTTACGTGTGTGTGTTGTTGTTGGGTGGGGGTGGGGAGTCGGGTGCACGCGAGGCTAGGAGGGTGTGCGCTTCCATAGTGGGAGGATGGAATTTGTGTTATCTGGATGTTGGCGGACTTGGGGAATTGGGTGTGTTGTGCTATTGTGCATGTGGAGCGCAGTCCTGGGGCTTGGAGAGCTTTTGTGGGATTGTGGGTAGGTCTCATCTGGCTTGGGCTGTGGAGAGTGGAAAGAAGCCCGGCATTGGGGGTAAAGAATACATATAAGTTCAATGTATTATTGTCCCGAGAGGCTATGAATGGACGAAAGGCAGATGATGTTCAGGGACGAACTGCTCTTTTCTTAAGTAGATGCTTGTGACTACACGCAGCATGAGCGAGGAGGAGACAGCTAGAAGGACCTATAGTTTTTCCCGTCGAGTTGTGACCTTTTCTGTGCTGTAGTTGGCACATCTAGAAGGGGTTGTACTGAGTTTATTAAATTCTTATTACAGGAATGATTTGTCAGGGGTAGATGAGAAAGCAGAAGTATAACCTGCTAATTTTCTCTTGAAGGGAAGGCATGAATGGGGTTTTCAGAGCATAAGAAAAAAGAGACTGCATTCTCTTCTCTGAACACCCAGAAAATAATATGTAGTGACAGTTTCCCTCAAATGTGCAGGGTTCCATGTAAAGCACATTGCTACAGCCATAGGTGAATTGTTATTCGTTACCTTTTTGCAAAGACCAGCAAACAGCAGTGCGTAATCAAACCCTCCTGCTATGTGAGAGGGCTTGGTCCAGGTGTTTGTCTCTGTGCCAGAAAAGTCCAAGCCAGTATGAATACATACATTCAAGCAGTGGAAACTTTAAAATGGCTCATTGTCTATTTCGATGCTTAGTGTGGCTTTCATTTCTTCCTTTGACTAATAGTAGGCTCTGGCTTTAGTTGAGACATTGCTAAGTAATGGAACTTACATTATACAGTTCTTTTTTTCTGTGGTTGGATTAGTTGCATAGAAAAACTATTCACAAATAATGTTACTCATCCACTGCAAACCATTTTAATACAGGGCACTGTTGCAGTATGGTCTCAAATAATTAAGAATTGTATAAACCAGGGTGGGCAAAGCTTGTAAATTGGAGGGGAAACACATTGAGGACATTTAAGAGAACATTTGTGTTGAGGACATCCCACATACTTTATTGTGACTGAAGTCTTTTTGATACATTATTACTTTAATAATGGAATAAGCACTGGAGGTAATTATATGGAATATTTGAGCTCATGAACCAAGGGTTATTTATTAATTAAATCCTTAAAAACATGGAGTACAATACACAGTAATAGGATAGGTACCAAATACTCTGGCATAATCCAGTGAATTTTGGTTGTGCGGATCTGTGAGACAAGTGTGAATATCTTGCATTGATTTCACACATTTTGAGACTTATTTTGTATGGGGTCTTAAAAGTTTTGAGTGTGTGAAGCAGTCCACATGCATACATCTAGCTGTGTGCATTCATACACATCTCTTTGACTATGAGGTCATCAAACATATTTCCTTTCATAACAACATTGCTTTGGGGCTGTGCACTTATTTACCCCAAGCTACTGGATTTTGGTTGGCATTTGTAGTGGCAATTCTCATTAGCCAAAAGTCTACTACATGTTGTTGAGTGTTCTGCTTTGTGTTTTCTTACCTTTCGTTTTGATAATGGATTCTGCATTTAATCATTTCCCCAACTTCTTAAGTAGTCATCCCTGCTGTGCAAAAGTATTCTTGGCAATTGGTTTTGAAAAATTGTGCAGGCTTCATTCCATTAACATCCTAGCAATCTTCTTGTTCCCTTTTATCTTCCCTGCCTTGTTCATGTGGAAGACCTTATCGATTTATGTGCATATGTTTTTATTCTGATGCATCAGAGCATTTCCTACATCTTCTTACTTTTATTGTGCATGGTGATAACTATACCTGGGTAATGTTTCTCTGATATTTTCAAATCACAAAAAATAGCTTTATGTTTAATGAAGGAACTCTTTGAACTCTAAGTAGCCGTGAGCACTTTGGATCCATTTTGCTTGGACAATATTGGATTAAGAGGCATTAGGTAATTACTGCATAATATGTGTGTTTTCTGTCACTAGGAGTTCTGAAGTCAAAACCAGTTACCAATTACTGTAAATGATGAACTGTAAATGTGGCAGGGGACTTTGAAGGGATTAGCTTACTCTTATCATGCTGTTGCCTCTGTACATATATGGCGACTCCTCTGCCTTTGGACTTGCAGCGTCCTTTTGCATTATGTGATGCAGCTTTATAACCTCTGTTATATGCTTGATTTATATAAAAATGCTGCTTTCTGTAGAAGGAAATGTAATTGGAGGAAAGCAATAATCATTTTGATGTCATAACATTCCTGGTAGACCACTGTCTCGATTGGTTTTACTGTTGGAGACAAGCTGCTTGTTTGTAGAAATTGCCTTTTACATCACAGCATGTGCACATACATGAGTTAGAACATGGATTATTCTGCACAGAGTCCTCTCTCTGGACTTCTTTCACAGGTAGGAGTAATAATAAGAGACTGCTACCCTATTGCCAGTCTCTGTTGTTCAAAAATGAATGAATGAGGCTCCTAATCATTAGCAGCTTAGTTAAGAAAAATGGTCCCAAAGAATGAGGCATTCGAAATGGTTGTGGTGAGGTATCTTGCTGGATCAGCAAATGCTGGGGAATGTTTGTTATCTCATTACTAGAAGTTTTATTAAAAGGCATTGTCTTCAATTTTTGTACGAGTTTTGTGTTCATTTTATAGGTCATGGTTATCTTTTTAGGATCCTTCCAAATGAAGGCTTAATACTGCAAACAGACCAGGTTGTTAGCAACTCCCCCCCCACACACACATCAGATTTCCCATTGAAAGGATAAATTGGATTAAACTGTGGGGGGATACAGGTTGACATTTGGGTGACAGTAACGTGTGGATGCTGCAACAATTTACATGCATGAGGAGTGTCATATCCGAGATTCTTGGGAACCTTGGTAAAGGTGCACTCAGTGGGGTTTTTTAATCTCGATAAGGAAAGCTATGCCAGCCAAGAATACTCTCATGCTGCTTCCGAATGCTCTTGATGCGCTGTGCACAGGGGATGACTGCCCCATTTTTGCCACCCGAGGTGAAATGGGAAATTGCTTCCCCACTGAAGCCAGGGTGCTGCTGTTGCCTCTCCTTGCTTTGCTGGTGCCTGTGGAACTTCAGTGCAGCCATGGGTGCCTCCCACCCTCTCCTGTTGCTGGAGCAACAGCAAGAGCTCGCCACTGCTTCTCCTCCCTTCCCTGGTGATGGCAGTGTGTGAGCTCAGTGGCAGGCAGGCACAGCTGCGGGAACTGCCACACCTGGACTCTGTTGGGATCCTGCCGCCTGAGGCAGTTACCTCAGTGTGCCTTACGGTGATGCCCGCTCTGGCTGTGCATAATGAGAACAGCGGAGCTCTTGCAATGGTGGACCCTTTGTGGCCTTGTGTTTCTGACAAATACGTGACATTACAGCTCCCTACAACTATCTTTGCTTGGTTTCTGCATCCAAAGTGGTACAGAAGCCAATATATTAGCTTCATGCTTCTCACTGATAGAGGCTTCTTTAGATGAGAAAATTTCAGAGATGTGGAAGCCTCCTTGCCCTCTAATTGTATGGGGTGCAATTGTATTTTTTCCTGTTGTGTGATGATCCCTGGCAATAGTAATAATAATCATGGGTGGGTGATATATTCAACTTAGACCTACTCAAAGTTAGACCCATTGGGTTCTATCCAAAGTACTGCTATAGAGAACGTTAGGCCAGTGCAATAATTTCTCCTTATCTGACAGGATGTTCTCTCCATCTCTTTCCCCTCACCTTACAAAATCTGTTCTGGGGGTTTTCTAACGCTCCAGAGCAGATTTGGGGATTGTGTGGGGCATGTGCAGGGAGAGGAAAGTGAGGAAATCCTGGTGCTATTCCTTGTGCTAACACAACTATTTAGATGAATACTGTACCATGTATTGCAATAAATGGATTTCACCCTATAATATATATATAAATCAGTATCTTGGGAGGCAGTTGAGACCAGAAACAAAGTTATTAAAAGAACTATCAGCACTGCTCCACATAAATCTGTATTACTAGTGTTACAAGTACCTGTTAGACAGTGACTCTGGCATCACTGGGGCAACACACTTCTGGCATCACTGAGCAACACACTTCCCACTGTTCCAAGCCCAGCACTGCTTGAAATTTTGTTTTAGTTCAGTAAAGGTTGAACATATTCCTAAAGTTTATGTATTCCTTAAAAGTGTACTAATGGATTTGGGCAGCATGTCTGTTTTGTTCCCTTTGTTTCTGCCCTGGTTTTATAACATATTTAAAACTATCCACAAAAATGAGTAATAAGGATATGAGCATAGTTGACACGATTCCAGCAAATGTCAGCCTGAAGTGCTAAATCTGTACAACAGTTTTTTTGTGTGTGTTTTTAAAGTGTCTGCTAATTCTATTAATGGCACTGTAGTCTGAATGATATAAGACTTATTTCCAGGATGAAGTTAATACTTGGA